TTATTAGTCTTCTGATGAATTAATAAACCAAATCTCAGTATATCGATAGGGACAATTGATCATCGTGTAACAAATTTCAAATCAAGTCATGTGAAAATAAAAAAAAGTATATATATTTGATATTTATTTCATGGGATATGCAATTGTGTACGTAAACATGTTTACTTTGCATAATTTCAGGGTCTCCACCGCGTCCGTGGTAGAAAGAGGTTCAACACTTGACTGTCTCGAAGAAACTTTTGCTGAACTCTCAAATTCTTTTACAACATTACATCAAAATTTTCAAGGCATTAAACAAGTTCATGAATCTTTAAATGAATTCAATAAATCATTTTCAGGGTTTTTATATGGAATTAAAATGAATGCACATTGTATAGAGTTTTCTGAGGTAACTTTTCATTAATTTTTATCACTTGTTAATTTCATTAATTTATTTATTTACTTTCTTATAAGGCTCCAACGAAAGAAACGTTTACTAGCTTTATTCAAAAGCGTGAGGGTATTGTATAATTTAAAATTTTTTATTGATGTTCTTTAAATTATTATATAAATTAAACCATTTTCATTTATTTCATTTGATTTTAGCTGATTTGTTCAAAGAAAATCAATCTACACCAATTGCAACACCAGTTCGTAGAATCAAAACTCCAACTCCCGTTAGTAGAATCAAAACTCCAGCGCAACCACCTCCACCAAAGAAAAAGAAAATAAATAAGGCTTTAGCTATTAAAGTATTTATGTCACGTGTTTACGCGGTATGGTGAGGATTCGGGTCCCGAAGCTGATCTACGTAAATTTTATAGACATTGATCAAGAAAATTGTCGATAGCTTACCACCAAAATATCGTGATCAACACGTAAATATTAAAATTTTGTTGATTTTATAATTCGGTTTATTTAGAATATTAATCTTAAATACAATATAATTATAATAGCAAGCAAATCGTAAAAACGTGGAAATGATTCTTAGACTTTTGTTTGAAAATCCATCGGAGGGAAAGTATGTATCCATTTAAGGAATAAGCATTAAACTCTAAATTATTTTTAAAAAAAATTTTTTTTTCACCTGTTATAGGTATATTCAAGATATTGTTAAATGCACTGAACTAGCACGTGGTCGATGTATTGAATACCTTAATGTACTTATCAATAACGAATATGCAGTAAAATTAAGTCATAAAGGTATTTTATACAAGCTTAGGGATGATAAAATTAATTTAGGTTTTTAAAACTTGTAAGTTCCCAAATTAAACATTTAAGAGCCAGGCTTTTATATAATCAGTTCCAAACTCAAGTTAAACCTGTACCAAATTTTAAAAACCTAGTTCTCGATCTTTTGTAAGACATACAAATAAAAATGTATTAATAAAAATTTAATTCGTATCAAGCTTTTAAAAATATATTACTTAATATGCAAATATTGATTTATTTAATATAAATTTGATTTTTTCTAAGGCCATGCAAAATTAACTGGTTTTCATAACCCGGCCGGGTCAAAATTTGAAAACTTTGTAAGAAAAATTTTTTTTGTTTTAATAACCGGGTGGATTTTAAATAAAATTTTTATATATGAAATTTAAAAAAAAGCCAGCCGGCTAGCCGGGTTTGTTTAAAAGTTTCATGTTATAAAAACCAAGGGAGTAATATGGCGTGTGGGTAAAGTGGTAGATCACATAGTGAAGTTAACATGGGGTCTGCCAAATAATCTAGCGGTTCTTATACCATTCAATTTGTCTCACCAAAATTAATAGAAAGATACAAAAAAACATTCACATTTGTTATAACCACATACGTACCAAATAATCACATAAATGATCTTATATAAAGTGAATAGATACTTTAATTTTATGCGATCTGTTGGTTCGATAAAATTATTTGATAAAATAAATTCTATAATTGCTTTTCTATTGAAGTTTAAATAAAATAAATTTTAAAAGTTCGTTTTTGTTTTTTGAAGGCACAGTGATATCATTAGATATCTTAAAAAAAATATATATATAGTATATTTCTAAGGTCACTCCAAATTGATACTGTTTTCAATATAACAAAAAAATGTCTTGTAAGTAGGAGAACATAAAACAACAAAAAATACAATAATTCTATTGGCTGTAAAAATGTAAAAACCCAAAAAGCTAATACTGCAATTTGATTGGTTAATATGTTTTTTATATAAACTTTTAAAAAATAAAGAAGGATTATACTAAACAAAAAATCAATTTGAAACGGTCTAAATTTATATTTATTAATTAAATCCAAAAACTATTTACTCTAAGTGATATCAATTTATAAAAAGTGTTATATAAAATTTATTTGTCTTTAAACTTGATAAATAATTTGCATTTATATGATACCCTATATAAGTATACCTCTATATAAGCACCTAATTTTGTAAAACAATTTACTAAAAAAATATAAAAAAAACCTCAATATAAGCATAATCTTTTTATAAGCATATTGTTTAAAAAGCTACTATTATCTCATCTATATGATTATAGAAAGAGTTAACTGTATATACTTTAAACACATACTTTTTTATTCATAATTTAACAAATTAACTATATTATATAAACAAGTTATCTTTAACAGATTGTGGCTACAAGAATATTAATATACTATAAGTTTAACTAGCATATAATTTTATATAATATATAGTAAATTAATAGTTAAAACTTAATTATATATAGCAAATTCTGCAATATAAAATATTATATATTAGCAATTCTGTAATCTCAATAATAAAAAAAATATAAAAAATTATTATCAACTCTTTCTAATAATTATTTGAATCAAGATTATACCAAAAACAGATTGAAGATTCAAAATCTAAAAAGCTTTAAAATATTTGGAGTTTCTGTATTGGTACTATTGTTGATAAAAACTTATATATGAAATATTGAGCAGTAGATATATATAGTTGGTTTGTGTTTCATTAACAATCATCTGGACAATGAAAATCAAAAAACTGAACTATAGTTAGCATTATAGAAGTCATTAAAGTAAATAATAAACTTGTTTTTACAGAAATAGATATGTTGTTGATGCAGTACTATGAATATAAAACCGAGGTACAGTCTACTTTGGACTAGTTTTGGTAGAGTTCAAACTTCTTGCTAGTAGACTTCTTTACTTTTATTCGGTATCCAAACCAGAAAGATATTTTGAAAACATAGAATGTCTAGAATAATACTAGGAGTATTATAAACTTTAGATAATCCCTATACAACTATAAAATTTACAAGGAACAACTACAGAAAAGACTTATTGGCCCACTATTTTTTTTAAATAAATTTTGTTAAAAAAGTAGATGTCTTGGTTTATTCTTTTCAAAAAATCAACATGTAAATTTTCAAAATAGCTAAAATTGTTAATTATTCAAAAAGAAAATACTATTAGAAGTGTTTACTTTTTAAGTAATATCTAATACTCACATGGCCAGATTTGTCTGAAGAAGTGTATTGCTTTATTGCAATCTAAGGAACAAATAAAAGCAAGTCTAAAACAACATGTGAGAGTAACATAACTTGAATACTGTTAATCTATTAACAATACTTCGAGGCTATTAGTGCGATATTAGCTACTCTGTCTAGTTTAGTTACTAGTTTAGCTTTGTTTTTTTTTTTCGGCATGTCCTACCACTGTTTTTATTAAGATATTAACTACACAAAAATTACAAGAATTCTTAACTATAGTTATTCTCTTTTTAACTGCAACAAGTGACTCACTTGACTTAAAAGCCCAGATGCGATATCACCTAGTGGTCATTTGCCTCTCTCTAGACCTCTAACTTGCTAAAGGTATGAATCCTTTAATTATTGGCCGATACTACACGCTATATTAGTATTATCTTTTCTTTTTAAAAACAAAGAGATCAAGACAAGAATCAAAAGACAATAAAAAAAAAGAGTAATATCTTGATATCTGAATTTGATATATCTAATTAAATAAAACAAAAAACAAAAAACAAGAAAAAAGAAAACAAAATAAAAGAAAAGAAAACAAAGATAGTACTATTAAACCTGTGCTAGATTGTAAAAATTATATAGTACTACTAATAAACTAGTCTAAACTTTATGCTAGTTATTTATGTCTATATTAGGATATATAAAATATCTATTCTTGAGTAGAGATCTAAGATCGAAATTTCTCTTGTGGTCTCACCAGATTTTCAGTGTGGTATCCTGCAACATATTCTCATGCTTAATATAGCTTGTTTCTGGGCAAAGTTAGTAATCTAGAGATCTCAGTGTAAACACTATAATCTCTTGAGAAAACTAATCAACATGTTTTTATTCCAAATTAGACATATACTCCTGTATATGACTTTTTTTTTTTGGCAGTAATTGTTGTTGTCGATTTTTGATGAAGATATGCTGAATTTTTATTTTTTGATGAAATTTTGTAAAGAATAGAGAGTGGGGTCTTGGTAGAGGGTTTTGGTTTGTAGGTAGCCTTAAACTTCGATAGAGAGTATGTTAAAAACTTGTTTGTTATTCCCCTCCAGACCAACTATCTTTTACTTCGTCAGCAGAAGCTATGCTTCTATTAAAATTTTTTGTACAAAGGCATCACCTTCTGTCAGTTATCTTGTGCAAGAACACTTTTAACTTGTTTGCTGAATATACAGAAGAGTCCAAAAGGAAACCTGAAGTATCTTGACCTCTGTAAAAACTGTTACTTGTAGTTGTCTCTTCTCTTTTCTCTAACAAGTTTTCTATTTTTGTTATTTATAAGTTTGATACGAATGATCATTAAAGAGAGTTGTTGGTTTAGCTTTGTTTTTTTATATATTATTTATTTTTTTAGTTATATATAATTTTAGAATAAAGTTAAATACAAAGCTTCTTTATTTTGTAAGATATAATTTTTTAAAGTCTGATACAAGCTTATAATTGTGATCTGTCAGATTCTTCTTTTCTTTTCTTCTTATATTTTGTTTCTGTTTTTGTTTTTAGTATTAGTTTTTGTTTATTTCTTTTCTCCTTTAGTATTAGTATTAGTGTTAGTTTTTTTTTCTTTTCATTTCTTTACAAAAAGATATCATTAGATTGGTGATATCCTATTGTAGAGCAGTGGTCTACAATATTGGCTGATGACCTTAAATGACCTATATGACCTTTATGATCTGTCATAGATTATTTGGTTATAATGAAGGTTGATATGACTTTATAACCTTTTGATATAGTAAGCTTCATAATAAAAAAATTTTTTACTAATATTTGATATGACCGATATAACTTATGACCAAAAAGTCATATGATTATATGACCAAAGTCATATCAAAAAAATGTTATAACCTATATTATTGGCCAACACTGGTGGTCTAATAGTACTTACTAAGATAGATAGAGTTTCAATATTTAAAACTTATCAAAACATATTCATATGGATGTGTTTGCTCAGTATAACTAGTTACTTGTAAATGCTCTCACGTGGTTAACATGTTAAAATAACTGCAGGATATCAGATCCAAATATTAGCAGCTATCATTCACTTTATCTAGTATCTAAGATCATTAATAAAGAAACCCTGACAAGATAGCCAAAGTGGAAAAAAAAGTTGGTTTGTATTTTGAGTCAAGATTCTCTTCTCTAGTAAACTCCTTTACATATTTGGTATTCAAATCAGAAAGATTATTTTGATAATAGAGGTAGTAAAAAACTCCTGATTCAAGTATCAAGAGATTATAGTACTATAAAAAATAACTGAAAATACTC